GCTGAAATGTTCAGTCTCTGGCTTGTATTTGCCTGATTACGTTTTATTTCATGTCTTCTGCATGAGACTGTGCCCACAGATTGAGACACATAGGTGGAGAATTCAGTGACATTTGGGAACAGGATTTCAGTTGGGAGTTCACCGAAGAGTCATTTGAGCTGTTGAGTGAAGAGTCCAGGAAAGAACCTATTGAGAAATCCAAAGAAAATTCAGAACAGCCCTAAATTAACTCCAGTGAGGAGTACAGTTGGAAAGGCAATCCTGATTGATTATGAGTGGGAGGATAAGCAGTAGCCTGCTTGGGAATCCGATGGATGAGAAAGAGAAAAAATAATAAAAATAGGAAAACTAATAAGTAAATTCCTCTTTTGAATACTGTTTTCAGGAGTCTGGGACTGCTGATCTACTTCCAGTAAGATTTTAAAGCTCTTTTTATGGGCTTTAGTGGTATTACAGCCATGCATTGTGTCCTTGGGGCTTGGGCCCTGGTGATACACTGCTCCTTCTAATCAGAGAACAGCTGAAAAATCAGATCTTTATCCTGCTGTCTCATGGGGAAGGGTTGCTTGGCTGTACTGTGGAAATGAAGGCCCTGTGCTTCGTGGGGCAGCTGGGGCTGCCTGGGACCTAGATCAACAGGCTCCAGAATTTGATTTCATTCTCGTGGACCATCTCATCAAAGGGGATCCCGATGCCACAGTGGACAAATGGGGTCTTATGATCATACCAATACTAATCTCATGGGTATTCTATCTCAGAGAGTTTCTCCCTGTTCTTTATCAAGCTTTTAAAACTTACTATGTTCCAGGCATACAGCTAAGTTCTGGAGAACAGAAAGAGGATTTAGATGGACCTTCTTCTCTAGGTTCTTACAGTCTAACTATTCTGTAACATCTATAGCAGAGTATTTCTGGAATGCTGTGACTGGTTTCTCCTCTAGTGAAACTCTTTCTAGTAGGGGGTCTAACTGGCTCCTTTCAAGTGAAACAACTGTGTTTTGTTACCTATATTATTTCATGGACATTTGGCTTTGGGATGGAATCAGTCAGTGCTATACTCAGACATGGGCCTCCCAGGTGGTGTAATGGTAAAGAATCCACCTGCCAATGCAGAAGATATAAGAGATATAGGTTTGATTCCTGGGTAAGGAAGATCCCTGGGAGGAGGGCATGGCAACCCACTCCAGTCTTCTTTCTTGGAGAATTCTGTGGACAGAGGAGCCTGGTGGGCTAAAGTCCATAGGGCCGAAAAGAGTTGGACATGACTGAAGTGACTTAGCATGCACACAGACATCTAAGTTTGCTTAAAATTAAAAATTATTGAATGAAATACTCTTTAAATGCTTTACAGTTTTCACACATTGACACATCATCATCCAAAGTCCATAGTCTATATTAGGTTTCATGCTTGGTGTTGTACACTTTATGAATTTGGACAAATTTATGACACATGTCCACCATTACAGTGTCAGAGAGTAGTTTCATTGCCTTTAAAGCTCTCTTGGTGGCTCAGTAGAGAATTCTGATTCTCGGTAGAGAATCCGCCTGCAAGGCAGGAGATGCAGGTTTGATCCCAGGGTCGGGAAAGTCCCATGGAGAAGGAAATGGCAACCCACTCTAGTATTCTTGCCTGGGAAGACCCATGGACAGAGGAGCTGGGTGGGCTACAGTCCATGGTGTTGCAAAGAGTCAGTCAGACATGACTTAGCGACTAACACACAACCACCCTGTTCTGCCTGTTCCTCCTTTCCTTCCCTCTATCCCCTGGGTAAGTTTATTTTATTTTTTGTCTGCAATAACTTTCAAATAATAAAAAAACCCCCAACACTCCCTCCCACCTCCTCTTCACATACAGAACAATGGGAAAACAGCCACTAGAAATGAGGAGGGAGAATTATATATTCTTTGACCCTGTTACTACTGAGGTTGCCATGTTTTTTTTTTTCTTTTCTTTTCTGTAGCTCTTTTGTCTGAAACTCTCATCCAAAGACAGATTTCAGATACCTGATTTTGATGGTGGATGTCTATCTAATACCAAATTTCTTACATGCCCATTGCCTCTGAATCCCTTCTCTGTATCCAATTTCTACCATGCATTTAGATGTGGAAAACAAGAATTTACTTTTAATGTGTTTGGCACCTCACAGTGGGGGGTGGAAGAGCCCCTCCTGAGGAATTAGATAGTGTTCTGTGGTGGAAAGAATACTGGATTTAGAGTCATATTTTAGCCTCCAATTTTCTATGTGCGCTTGGTATATGATGATGGTTACAGTATGGTATTTTTTAGTACTCACTAAATATTCAGTATTACTAAGTATCCTAATTCTCTTCACAACCCCAGGAGGTAGGTACTATTATTCCCATATTCCTTATGGGAAAACTGAGGTAGAGATATGTTAAGGAATTTGCCAAAAGGCTGTGTCATCATTGGAAGCCAAATAATCTTACCTAATCTTTCTGAATCTCCATTTCCTCCTCACTAAAATGAAGGTATTGGGCCAGATGATCGCTGAGTTCATTTCTATTCTAAAACTCTCTGGGTCTGTGAGGTTTTACAGACAGGGACCCCAATCTCCGCCTCCGGTCCCCCTCTCCCCACCATAACAAGTGCAGGATGGTTTGATTTCATGTAGTAATGGCCTGGCTAGCTGCCTTTATCAGGACTGCAAGAACTTTCCTTTTTCACTCACTGTTATTTTGGTTAAGGTTGCTGTTTTTTAGGGCGTGAAGTTGGCATCAACTGAGACAAAGGAACCAATAACTCCTTTAAAAGGAAGTGTGGATTGACCTGTTTTCCTACCTCTAAAGAACCAGAATCAAGTCCTGAAGATACTCAGTAAAATTGGAATAATAACTAACACAAGGATCTTGTTAAACTCAAATAAGATAATGTTTAGGAACTGTTTTGTAACTTGTCAAATTCTACACAAATGCAGGAACTATTGGTATTGCCATGTAATACTGATTCACAGGTCAGAAATTTGGGTAGTTTTCCTTTTTGATTTCTATGCATGGTGCATTTAGGAAGCCTAAATGAACATACATTCTGCCTGCTAGCATTAATATCTGTGCTGATTAAGGGGTAAAATATTCCAGCCTTGTTTATGCTTTTCTAGGGTCAGGACAAAATAACCTCCATAAACAGACTTCTACTATGTTTAGTCATTAGCCAGAGACCTAGGGGCACCATGCTGCTCCATTTTCCAGTAAATTTCCCTAACTAGTTAAAAACAGAAGTACAAGCAGGGCACAGTTCCTGCAGATTTCATCTAAAACGCAGCTTGAGTTGTGAATTTAGAATTCTGCTTGATCTCAGGCTGCTCACCCCATCCATATCATCCATCTGCATTTTTTTTTTGCATGGAATAGCAGGATACATGTCGGTATTTGCTAGGTTCTTTTTTCCTGGCTTCCTGGATCTCTCGGCTTGTGTTATGCATGCTTTTCTTGTTTGGGAGCATGCATTGCTGGATCATACAGAATGGCTGTCATAGGATGGTCCCCTGAATTGAGGACAGAGACTGTAAACAAAGTTGGTTTGAAAAGGTCAGTTTTTTCATTTATTTGCTAATCGATTCAATGAGTATTTATTTCATTGATCTCCCACCATATGAAGAAAGTGGTTGAGGATATAAAAAAAGGAATTGATCTTGTTGGGCATACTGGGGCTTCTTGCTGGCTACAGAGGATGGAAAGAACACAGCAATGTTTTGTTATTATTGATATTGAGTAACTGCCTGCAAGAGGTCATTCAAATGAGGTACCGTTATCATAAAACACAAAGGCCTGGAAGGCAAAATATCTATCTGGCTCTCCTTCTAGAAATGCCCCCAGGTTTAAGATTCCATGGATTTTTCCTATAGTTCTTAGAAAAATTATCAGTTAAACCATCAAATATGTTTTTGTGCTTTAAGCAAGAGAACTTGCAAGCTTACATGCTCATGGTAGGGTTTCCAGCTAAGATGGAGAATGAAGATGAACAAGGTGTTTGTTCTTGTGGAAGAGCTGCTTTTCATAGAAGCAAAGAGTGGGAAAAGTTGAGAAAGTATTGATCTTAGTTTCTTGGAAATTAATTAGAATTTTCCTTGCCTCTCACAATTTCCCATTCTAGGTATAAAATAGATTAGGAAAATGTGCTTGTATGTACTTCCCCAGAAGTGACGGTGGAACAAAATGCCAATCACAAGGTGTTTTGGGTTTCAAACAGAAAGAATGAGGAATTGGATGCTTCCAAGTGTTTCAAGAGAAACCTTATTCTGGATGAGATGGTTTATGCCATCAGAGGTTATTGTCCATTAATCACCACCATGATTAGAGGTGAAAAGAGTTTTAGAAGAAGACTTTTATTTAATAAATCAATAATCGGTTGTTAAGCCGCTATGGAAAACAGTGTGGAGATTTCTTAAAAGAAGATTTTTTTGAAGTTTTTGTTCCACTACTTGGCATTGCGCTAAAGAGCTGTGACCTTGAGCAGGTCATTAATCATCTTGGATTTTCATCTCTTTGGTTAGCACTCAATATTTAACTGTTTATGGAGGCAACAATATGCTGGGGGCTTACTTGTAGAAAGATATTAATATGCACTCTGCCAATCTCTCAGAATTGGTATCAGAGCGAATTTGAATTTGAAAGCCTTTTGAAACATTTGTAAACCTCATGCATCTCAGAACAGAAGGATAGAAATCAAAACAAATCCTTGCCTCTTTCAAGACTAGACTTGTAAGAAGAAAACTTTTCACTAAATTAATAGCAAACTGAAGCAAGATCAAATTGGAGATTTTTTTTCATAATCTGATTTGGTACAAAGAAATGGAGACGCAAGGAACCAAACTGTGTGTTCATGACTCAAAGCAGCATTTCCTTTTCCTGCTAAAGTCCTGCCAACGTCTAAAATGTCTTCTTAGACTTCTTTTCCCTCCTTCCTTTGCATCTTTATGAAGCAACCAATAGGAGCTATGCAGAGTGTTGGGATGTGGATTAATCTGGGCTACTTGGGGTATAATGACAGTGTGTCCCTCCTCATACTACACCATCATGGCCTTGAACAGGACAGAGGTTTATTTCTCAGAGCTGGTATGATGGCCTTGTTCCACAACTTTGAGAAGAATGCAGAATCTTTCTTTTGTATCTTCTCTGCCATCGCTATAATGTTGCTCTCATCCAGATGGTTCAAGATGAGCCATCACCATACCTATATCCCATGCAGCAGAAAGGAGGGAAGTGTAAATGAGGATATGTCTCTTCCCTTTAAGAACAAGACCTAGAAGTTTCACACATTACTTCTGTGCATATCCTCTGGGAAGTGCAGTCTTCTGTTGCGCTGTCATAAATGCCCAGTGAAGCATCAGAGCTTCTGTGACTCTGTGAGAAAATAGAAGAATGCATATCAGTGATAAGAAGCAGTCTCTGATTGGGTGCAGACATGAACAGCTCTTGGTTCTTTCCTGAAAGCTGCTTACTTCAATGGGAGAAAACAGAAATGTAAATAGGTAATTACACATATTTTTTGCAACTCTGTGCGGTCACTTATCCCAACACTTTCACCATCTATTACCTTGATTCTCTTTTTTTTAAAAATTTATTTATTTATTTTTTATCACAACCATAGTGTATCTTTTTTTTTTTTTTTTTACATGTATTCTTTTTTATCCCTTTCCTCTTTCTATGCTCTTGTCAATTGTTAAAAAACAAAATTCAACTGAGGGAATTCAAAGATCTTATTGGCTTCACTCAACAGTTTGTGAATCAGGCCACATCAAATCTACCAGATAGAAAGGAATTCCCAGGAGCTGTACTAAATGAAAAACTCAAACACAGAAGCAAGGAGGAACAAGAAAGTTATACGAGGCAAAAAACAGACAAACTAATAAACCAGGTTGGTTATGGCAAAGTTGTTTTCCTTCTGGGGTTGGCAAAGAGCCTAACAGGCTCATTATTTAAATAGTGCTCATCAAGAGAACCCTGATTGACTGCTTTAAGATTCCATTTCTAGAGGAACTGAAACTGTGAATAAGTCTCAGTTTGGTGACATGGGGGTTAGTTTAAACAACTTCTTTTGGGGCTTGCTGTCTTGATTTCAATACTTTTTGCCTAAACCCCAAAATAATTGCTCCCCCACAAATAACTGCTCATTGTCTCTTTTTAATATACATTTTAATTGGAGGCTAATTATTTTACAATATTGTAGTGGTTTTGCCATACATTGCAATGAATCAGCCACAGGTGTACATGTGTTTCCCATCCTGAACTCTCACTTCTCTCCTCATCTCATCCCTCTGGGTCATCCCAGTGCACCAACCCCGAGCACCCTGTCTCATGCATTGAACCTGGACTGGTGATTCATTTCACATATAATAATATACATGTTTCAATGCCATTCTCCCAAATCATCCCACCCTCGCCCTCTCCCCTACAGAGTCCAAAAGACTGTTCAATACTTCTGTGTCTCTTTTGCTGTCTCGCATATAGGGTTATCATAACTATCTTTGTAAATTCCATATATATGCATTAGTATGCTGTATACTGTATAGGTATCTTTCTTTCTGGCTTACTTCACTCTGTATAATAGGCTCCAGTTTCATCCACCTCATTAGAACTGATTCAAATGTATCCTTTTTAATGGCTGAGTAATATTCCATTGTGTATATGTACTACTGCTTTCTTATCCATTCATCTGTCAGTGGACATCTAGGTTGCTTCCATGTCCTGGCTATTATAAACAGTGCTGCGATGAACATTGGGGTACATGTGTCTCTTTCAATTCTGGTTTCCTCAGTGTGTATGCCCAGAAGTGGGATTGCTGGGTCATATGGCAGTTCTATTTCCAGTTTTTTTAAGGAATCTCCACACTGTTTTCCATAGTGGCTGTAGTAATTTGCATTCCCACCAACAGTGTAAGAGGGTTCCCTTTTCTCCACACCCTCTCCAGCATTTATTGTTTGTAGACTTTTGGATAGCAGCCATTTTGACTGGTGTGAAATGGTACCTCATTGTGGTTTTGATTTGCATTTCTCTGATAATGAGTGATGTTGAGCATCTTTTCATGTGTTGTTAGCCATCTGTATGTCTTCTTTGGAGAAATGTCTGTTTAGTTCTTTGGCCCATTTTTTGATTGGGTCATTTATTTTTCTGGAATTGAGCTGCAGGAGTTGCTTGTGCATTTTTCAGATTAATACTTTGTCAGTTGCTTCATTTGCTATTATTTTCTCCCATTCTGAAGGCTGTCTTTTCACCTTGTTTATAGTTTCCTTCATTGTTCAAAAGCTTTTAAGTTTCATTAGGTCCCATTTGTTTATTTTTGCTCTTATTTCCGTTACTCTGGGAGGTGGGTCATAGAGGATCCTGCTGTGATTTATGTCAGATAGTGCTTGGCTATGTTTTTCTCTAGGAATTTTATAGTTTCTGGTCTTATGTTTAGATCTTTAACCCATTCTGTGTTTATTTTTGTGTATGGTGTTAGAAAGTGTTCTAGTTTCATTCTTTTACAAGTGGTTGATCAGTTTTCCCAGCACAACTTGTTAAAGAGGTTGTCTTTTCTCCGTTGTATATTCTTGCCTCTTTTGTCAAAAATAAGGTGTCCATAGGTGTGTAGATTTATCGCTGGGCTTTCTATTTTGTTCCATTGATCTATATTTCTGTCTTTGTGCCAGTACCATACTGTCTTGATGACTGTAGCTTTGTAGTATAGCCTGAAGTCAGGCAGGTTGATTCCTCCAGTTCCATTCTTCTTTCTCAAGATTGCTTTGGCTATTCGAGGCTTTTTGTATTTCCATATAAATTGTGAAATTATTTGTTCTAGTTCTGTGAAAAATACCATTGGTAGCTTGATAGGGATTGCATTGAATCTATAGATTGCTTTGGGTCGTATACTCATTTTCACTGTATTGATAATTCCCACCCAAGAACATGGTTTATTTCTCCATCTGTTTGTGTCCTCTTTGATTTCTTTCATCAGTTTTATAGTTTTCTATATATAGGTCTTTTGTTTCTTTAGGTAGATATATTCCTAAGTATTTTATTCTTATCATTGCAATGGTGAATGGAATTGTTTCATTAATATCTCTTTCTGTTTTCTCATTGCTAGTGTATAGGAATGCAAGGGATTTCTGTGTGTTAATTTTATATCCTATAACTTTAATATATTCATTGATTAGCTCTAGTAATTTTCTGGTTGAGTCTTGAAGGTTTTCTATGTAGAGGATCATGTCACCTGCAAACAATGAGAGTTTTACTTCTTCTTTTCCAATCTGGATTCCTTTTATTTCTTTTTCTGCTCTGATTGCTGTGGCCAAAACTTCCAAAACTATGTTGAATAGTAGTGGTGAGAGTGGGCACCCTTGTCTTGTTCCTGACTTTAGGGAAATGCTTTCAATACTTCACCATTGAGGATAATGTTTGCTGTGGGTTTGTCATATATAGCTTTTATTATGTTGAGGTATGTTCCTTCTATTTCTGCTTTCTGGAGGGTTTTTTTTTTTTAATCATAAATGGATGCTGAATTTTGTCAAAGGCTTTCTCTGCATCTATTGAGATAATCATATGGTTTTTATCTTTCAGTTTGTTTACTACATTGATTGATTTGTGGATATTGAAGAATCCTTGCATCCCTGGGATAAAGCCCCCTTGGTCATGATGTATGATCTTTTTAATATGGTGTTGGATTCTGTTTGCTAGAATTTTGTTAAGGATTTTTGCATCTATGTTCATCAGTGACATTGGCCTGTAGTTTTCTTTTTTTGTGTGGCATCTTTGTCTGGTTTTGGTATTAGGGTGATAGTGGCCTCATAGAATGAGTTTGGAAGTTTACCTTCCTCTGCAATTTTCTGGAATAGTTTGAGTAGGATAGGTGTTAGCTCTTCTCTAAATATTTGGTAAAATTCAGCTGTGAAGCCGTCTGGTACTGGGCTTTTGTTTGCTTGAAGATTTCTGATTACAGTTTCGATTTCCATGCTTGTGATGGGTCTGTTAAGATTTTCTATTTCTTCCTGGTTCAGTTTTGGAAAATTGTGCTTTTCTAAGAATTTGTTCATTTCTTCCAAGTTGTCCATTTTATTTGCATATAGTTGCTTATAGTAGTCTCTTATGATCCTTTGTATTTCTGTGTTGTCTGTTGTGATTTCTCCATTTTAATTTCTAATTTTGTTGATTTTATTTTTCTCCCTTTGTTTCTTGAAGAGACTGGCTAATGGTTTGTCAATTTTATTCATCTTCTCAAAGAACCAGCTTTTAGCTTTGTTGATTTTTGCTATGGTCTCTTTGTTCTTTTGCACTTATTTCTGCCCTAATTTTTAAGATTTCTTTCCTTCTACTAACCCTGGGGTTCTTCATTTCTTCCTTTTCAAGTTGCTTTAGGTGTAGTTAGTTTATTTAATTGACTTTTTTTCTTGTTTCTTTAGGTAAGCCTGTGCTGCTATGGACCTTCCCCTTAGCACCGCTTTTACAGTGTCCCATAGGTTTTGGGTTGTTGTGTTTTCATTTTCATTCATTTCTATGCATATTTTGATTTCTTTTTTGATTTTTTTTCCTGTGATTTGTTGGTTATTCAGCAGCGTGTTGTTCAGCCCCCATATGTTGGAATTTTTAATAGTTTTTCTCCTGTAATTGACATCTAATTTTACTACATTGTGATCAGAAAAGATGCTTGGGATGATTTCAGTTGTTTTGAATTTACCAAGGCGAGATTTATGGCCCAGGATGTGATATGTCCTGGAGAAGGTTCCATGTGCACATGAGAAAAAGGTGAAATTCATTGTTTTGGGGTGAAATGTCCTATAGATATCAATTAGGTCTAACTGGCTTATTGTATCATTTAAAGTTTGTGTATCCTTGCTAATTATCTGTTTAGTTGATCTAGCCATAGGTGTGAGTGGGGTATTAAAGCCTCCCACTATTATTGTATTATTGTTAATTTCCCCTTTCATACTTGTTAGCATTTGCCTTACATATTGTGGTGCTCCTATGTTGTATGCATATATATTTATAATTGTTATATCTTCTTCTTGGATTGATTGTTTGATCATTATGTAGTGTCCTTTATGTAGTTGTCTCTTTTCACAGCCTTTATTTTAAAGTCT